TATTGCGTTTATACAACAGTTCGACGGAACATGTGTGTAATTAAACAAGAAACAACGGAGTGCCTAATAAAACCCTCTTTTGTGCGGAACTACTTCCTTCCGCCACGGATTCGAAGCTCAAGTTGATAGTTAAACATGCGTCACTTTTAGAATCCGTATCAAGGGCATGTGCTGCTTCAGTTAGGTTATTAGTGAGAAATAATGAGGTTATAAGAGAGAAACAATGCGGCAAGACGTGCATCCGAATGAGAGAGAGAGAGACCGTGAAGCTAGACGTTTCTTCTTTTATTAACTAACGTACTCTACGATTAGCATAAAAACACAGACCCGGCTAGAACAAGCGGAGTGATACAAAATTGTGAAAGGGCGTTCCGGTAGCGATACCAGTACAATGTCTCACAATAAATCAGATTTCAGAACCAGAACGAACTGTTGTATAAATCATTATAGTTAATTTAATCTGAGTAATGTTCATACAAATGCATGTAAACCGAGTAATGTTGTATTGGTTGTGTTTGCTGAAGTTTCAGCAGTTTGATCTGGTCTGTGACGGACTGATGTGAGATCTGGACTCGAGCCAGAATGAAGCTCAACTCTTATGAGACGCAGATCAGCATTATGGGTCATCTGACCTCTCTGACCTCTGATAGAAACCTCATTAAACCGTGTGTGTGTGTGTGTGTGTGTGTGTTGTAGATGTCAGGAATGCTCAGACGCTCAAACAGGCAGATTGTGTGTGTGTTTGTGGAAAGAAAATCGGATGTGGGAAGCTATTCAGTCTCAAACAAATGTGTCTATTGTTTTGTCATTTAAACAGCCTTTCACCAGATTCTGTTCTCTCGTCTTTAAATAATTATCAGATAATTATATAAAAGAGATAAATAAATAAATAAATAAATATTATATATATATATAATATCATTATTATTAATCTTATTATTATTAGATCAAATATATATATATATTTATACAACAGTTCGTCTGGTTCTCAAATCTGATTGGTTGAGAACCGCAATATCACTCTCGTACTCAAGCGATACCGGCTCTATATCAGCGGCTGTGATTGCCTCCGGCCTCGTGCCTCTGGCCTAATCACAGCCGCTGATATAGAGTCGGTATCGCTCTCGTACTCCAGTGATATTGCTCATTTAAACAAAAGTAAAACCATAATAAACCATTAATTACTAGAAATAAAATAAATGTGAACTGAAAACAAACCATAAAAAAGCTCCCAAAGCAACATTTCTCATTTTTATTTAGGTTGACTAAATATACTAAATTGACTAAAACTGGAGAAAAAAAATAATTAAAAAACTATATACACATAATTGACTAAATAGACAAACTCTATAAACAAAACAACCAAACAAACA